TTCTTTCTTTCTTTCTTTCTTTCTTTTCCTTCTTTTCTCCTTTTCCACTCCCTTTCCCTCCTCCCCGCCCCTCTCCCATCCTGTTCCCTCCTCTCCTCCTTTGCTTCCACCCCTTGGCCCTGCTCCCTTCCTTTCTCCCTTGTCCCTTCCTCACTTCTTCTTACCTACAAACATGTATTGAACTCCTATCCTAGTCATTAAAGGTAAAACTGTGAACACACAGTCTAGCAGCAGGACGCCAATAGCCACAGTTAAGGACTGGGCCCTGGGACACAGCAGAAGATCGAACATGCTATAAAGCAGGGTGGGGACCTGCCGGAGCACTGGGGGTGCAGTTGCCACCTAAAACAGGAGAGGCTACAGATGGGAGGTGTCATGTGAGTACATACGTGAAAGAAGAGCCAGGTGCATGCTGTGGGGGGTGGAGGGCAGAGGAGTGAGACCCACCAGTCTAGCCACAACACGTAGACCTAAGAGTCTCCAAGTGTCATGGCTGGAAGGGTTTTTGGTAATTGTGCCAATTTAATGAGTGGGAAAACTGAGGTGTGGATGGTGATGAGCCTGAGGTCTGCTGTCTCCCGGCTCAGATGGGTACCTGACTCTATGCCTGTGGCTGAACACACCTGACTCCCTCCTAGGCTTCAGGCATGGTTCTGGGGGTCTCTCGGCAGGGCAGGCAAAGGTGCAGTTTGTATAGGTGCAGCTAAACCTTGGCCCTTGGAGGCCCAGTCCTGTCTCCTCTCTGCCTGGGGACTCTGGGGAGGAGACCTGTGGCCTTGAGCTGCAGCCCACATGGCCATACCAGCCAGTCAGTGAGGTAGGCAGTGTCCTGTGGGAAAGAGGCCTTGGGCGCCCAGCCCCAGAGTGGGCGGGAAGGAGAGATGACCCCGAGGGGCTCAGTGTGGCTGCTTGGGGCCACCATTCCCACAGCAGCAGGACCTCAGGCCTTGTGGTCAGGCTTCTGCGAGAAATGTGTTGCTCACCCACTGGACCGGCATAGAAACAGGAGTCATGTGGTTTCAGAGCTGGATTTTCAGAGCCCACACGCAGAACATTCATAGGTGACATAGGGAGGACAAATGAGTCTCCAAGTCCTATCCCCTCATTGGGGGTGCTTCAAGGAATCCTGACCATGGCCACTCCGGAGTGCCAAGGATTTGCTCTTCCCTGGTGGATGTCTGCTTCTCTGAGGCCAGCTCTGTGGGATCCTTTCCACTGGATTCTTCCCACTGTGCGCCATCTACACAGTTTCCCAGGAGACTGGACTCTCTATGGCCTTTGTGGCCCCAGAAGCTGAGGTAAGCCCACTTTAAGTAACATTCCCTAGTCAGTTCCCCTGGGGCGGGTGTGCCTAGCAAAGCTCCCTCTTTATGATGTCTGGGGGGATGGAGGCTGGCCTGCCACTCTACCATCAGCTGCTCTTCCTCTGGCTGCCTTGACCACCACCAAAGTCCAGGCAACCCCTGCTCTTTCTCTCTCCCAGCCTTCCCCCTCCACCTGCTCATTTGCTCATAAGCACCATCTTTTTTTCCTGCTTGTCTCTGAGCTGGTGGGGCAGAGAGGTTGTTGGGGTCAGGCTTTGGAGCCTATTGGAGGATGCAGTGGAACAATGCAGACATTTATGTTACTTTCTGCTACACTCCTCCTGCCTGCCTCAGGGCAGCCAGCCCCTGGAGGAACCCTGCAGGCTTCCTAGATGGTGAACCAGGGCAGAAGCAGCAGCACTGCCTGAGGACATGTGTGTGTGTGTGTGGGTGTGTGTGTGTGTATAGAAATGGGGAGGGGTGGTGGGCTATGCTGTTTTCTCAGCTGCAGGATGGCCAGGCACTTCCTCAGGTCCTCAGGGAGCAGTGGCCCTACTCCTGCCCAAACCCTCACCCATCCTCATCCAGCCCACTCCATGGCTCAAACAGGCACTTTGGGATGCGCCTGGGGACCTCTCAAGGGCCAGGTCCTCCTAACACACCCACAATCACTCATGCCTCAGTGTGTCTGGGCAAGTCCCATGTTTGCTGGTGCGTGGGGCTGTAGGCCGTGCCGGTGTGTGTAAGGCTATGGAAGGGTGCACACATATGTGCAGTAAGCTTGGTTTCTGAACCTGTTGGTAAGGTGGAAGGGGGTGGCGCTATGGCGTATGTCTGTTGTGTTTGTATGTGAAAGCGATAGGTGACTCTAGGTCTAGAGTTCAGCTGCCAGTGGCCTTGGTGCCCAACCTGCTGGACGAATGCTGCCACCTGCTGGCCAGTTGGGCATGTGCATGCTGGGGGCTCTGGCTGCAGAGGGGGTTACTGCCACAGGAGTGGGGTGTCTTGTTCACACCAGTCCCTGAGCAGACTGGAGCCATGATAGGTTCCCAAATAGTGTGAGCATCAGCATCCCAAGGGCATGTGACATCACAGAGTGCTCATCCACCCCAGAGCATCTGATTGATTGAAATTTGGGCAGAGCCTGGAATGTCTACCATGTTCCCAGGTGATACAGATGCTGCTGGCCCCAGGCCTTGCCAGAGGTAAATGGGGGCACCCAGGAATGCGAGCATCCAGTCGTGCAAACACGTTGGACCTCATAGGTCTCCATGCCAAGTCCCCAGACAGCCTGTCTCAAACATGGCTCACCCCAACACCCCAACTCCACTCGTCCCTCCTTTGTGTGGCAGTCGGGGCTCTTCCCATCCCTGATTGCCTATCTTGTCAGAGTCCTCTCAAAGAGACTGAAGCCCCTACTCCTGACAGAATCTGTTTGGAAATTTCTGAGCGTGGGAGCTGCCTCTGGCTCATTTCCCAGTGTAGACCAGGTGCATAAATGGGAAGTGAATGGCCGGGCCCCTCACTTTCCCTCATGGCTGCCCACCTGGGGCTAGGGGCACACCAATGGGAGAGGCTAAGACTTAGGAAGAGGACCTGGGAAGGGCATTCCTGGTGGAGGGAAATGCACAGGCAAAGGCCTGGAGGGATGAGGTGAGCCGGGGAGACAGGGGTGTGTAGCTGGGGCAGGGGTCTATGGGCCTGGACAGAAGTGATGAGGTTCCAGTTACCATTTCACAGGTGATATCCCTCTTTCTGCAGAGAGAGCTTGGCGAGGCTCTTCTCCTCTACCCAGCATGTGTTATTTGGGACCTGCTCTGAGCGGTACCCCTCATGCTGCGCCCAGGTGTTTGTCATGGGCAGGACCAGATGGGTACCTGAATCTAGACAGCCTTGCTTGCCCTCCAGGCGCATTTTCCAGACACTGGAGTCCTTGAGGGCGTCTTCAGGTCTTAGTGAGCCCCTCGTGCCTGAGATGGGGGAGGGTCTCCTGGTTTTAACCCTCATGCCACCTCTGCTGCCTTCCTGTGTCCCCTAAACTGAGCTGAGTTAATGATTTCCTATCTTTCCTGCACTGAAATCTTCAGAAACAAAGTGAGGCTGCTCTATGGCATTATTGGCACGTATTACCGATCCTGGAGGGGCTGATGGGACCACTTTGCTGCTTGGGGGAGACTCTACAGGGCCAGATGGCCCTGGTATCAGGACAACAGTGGCAGCAGAAGCTGACACTCCATGAGTCAGGTGTGGGCCCAGGTGGCAGGCAGGGCGGGGCTGGTGGGAGGACCGACGCCACACGGCAGAGGCTTTCTGTGAGAATAGTGGGAATGTATTTGACAGGATGAGTTTGCGGAGATTTGCAGAGCGCAGCCTCAGAGCTCCCCATGTTTTATTTATTAGCACTAAAGAGGCATTCTGAGGGGCACACAACACCTTCTAGAAAGGAGATTTGGGCCTGATTTGGTCTCCTTCAAAATACCAAAATAAGAACTTTTGACATGCACATTGTACCCAAGGTAAAAATGAAAAAAAACAACAACACAAAAAAACAGAAGGAAACAAACTGAACCGCAGACACCAAGAACAGAAGGAAGTCTCTCCCACACTCCTACTTGCTTTGAAGACACGATTCTGAGAAAAGGACGTGCATATTGAGCCCTGGGTCACATTCAGTGCATGAGATGCCAGCAGCGCCACACCCGGCCCTGAGTGTCCCAGCCAGCTTCTCTGACTGCAACCCTGAGGCTGGAGCCTGCTGGCTGGGGAGCCAGTGAAAGACTTCTTGGGGCGGCTGGTGCTTGTGGGCCTTCCATGCAGCCCCCTTCTCACCTCTCCAGCCTGTCTCCCCTCCCAATCCACCCAGGTAAGACAAATCAAGGAAGCCTGTATTCACATTACAACATGAAAATAGCACCAGAAATTTCAGAGCTAAATTGCTGATACTTGCCAGCTGAGAGCTCTGTGTAGGAGGAAAGCTCTAGAAAGGCAACCAAGGAGGCTGGAGTGTGTGTGGGACATGGGGAGGAAGAACTGGTGGGAGCTGGCTGTTGAGTAGCTTCCTCCCAGTCCCAATGGGAACCTGGTCCTCAGGGGTCAAGGTGCACTGGAAACAAGTGCTTTTGTCTGTGGTATGGATAGTGGCCATCACGACCATGTGCTTGGGGAGCCAGGTAGCTCACAAACCACTAGGTGGAGAGACACCCCCCCACCCCCATTTGATTTGTAAGGTCACTTTGGAATTGCAGCAACAGCAGCAAGACCAAGAGAGGTCCTGCTGTGATCTGACCGTGGTTGCCTCAACTTGCTTCCCTACTAGATGACATGGAGGGGAGGACCCTGTCCAGGCCTTCAAAGGAGGGGGCACAAGGGATGCAAGGCGTGAGCTGCTCTTTCTTCAAGTTCTTGGTACTGAAAAAACAGCTATGTGGCCTCAAAGAGCCTGCTGCTGGCCAGCCCCTCGCCCCAACCTTCTAGGTTGAAGGGTTTTGCTGTCCATCAACCCCAGGCCCTACTTCAAGCATAAGAGTCTCAGCTCTAACACTGGAGTCTGAGCATTTGCATGGGAAATCAGGTGGATTAAGATGTGGCCACCAGTCAAACTATCTGAGTACTGAAGCTTGCCAGTGTAGACAGGAGTCCCATATTCACTGGGTTCACCCCCAGCCCTTCTTCCATGCACTCTCTCACTCCTATAAATTACTCAGAGGGATCCTTTTTTAGAGGGATCTTGAAGCTGGTTAGTCTCTGTCCGAAGAGCTGGCTGAGGAGATCGTTCTGGGATTCAGCAGTCCAGCAGGCTTGGCGATGGGCATGTTCAGCACCTCGGACAGCTCTGCCCCTCTTGGGGGTCCTGTGCAGGGGTCTCGCCTGGGGAAAGGCTTTGCCTAGTCCGTCTCTGCTGCGTCTGAAGTCCCGGTGTGTGTGGCTGGGCTCCCCGCTCTGCTGCTCTGAGGGCTGAGACAGTGTAACGCTGCTCTGGTTGCTGGGCCTGGGCTTGGCAGGGAGCACACGGCTGGGAGTAGCCTGCTTCCTGGGAGCCCGGCGGGGTTTGTCAGACACTGAAGGGGCTCTTCCCAAGCTCCCCACACTTTCACTCTTGTTTGGATCCAGGGCCCGGCCCTTTCTCTTCTTCTCTTTGCCCTCCCTGTCCTCCCTGGGGACCAGGCTTCCTTGGGGCCCCTGGTCACCACCTTCCCTTGCGGCCTTGGAGTAGCCCTTGGCTGGGGCTCGAGTGGGGGGCTTGTCTGGGGCGGGGCTCTGGGCTGGGCCGTTGGGTTTGGATGGGATAGTGGCTGTTTCGCTCTGGAGCTGCCCACTGGCTGGCTGAGGCTGGCTGCCACCTGCTGTCTTGGTGCTGTGCTGTGGGCCTCCATTGCCCTGGGAGCTGGGGCCTGGCTTGGGTTTGAGGGCAGTGGCCTTCTGCCTGTCCTCAGTGCCACGGGCTGGCTCTCCCGGTTTTAGGCTGGCCATGGCCTTCTTTGATTGCACCAGGCACTTGGGGGCTTTGCTGAGGAGAGACAGAGTTGGCCTGTCCTTTGAGTGCTTGGTGGCGCTCCCCTTGTGGGAGGGGACTCCCTTCTCCCCCTGAGACACCATGTAGCACGTGGATACCTGCTTCTCCTTCCGGAGCATGGAGGAGGCTTCTGGGTGATTGTCAGAAGCATATTTGCCAGGGGCACTTGGGGTTCTGCCTTTCCCTGAGATTAGGCTCTCTGAGGCTTGGCCTCTGGCCCCTGGATGGGGTAGAAATCCCTCCAGAGGGAGAGCCTGCTGGAGAAGAGGCCCAGGGATGCCTGGGGAAGCCTCAGCTGTGGGGCTCTCCAGGGCTTGGTCTGGCTTGTGGACATCTTTGCCATCAGCTGAGACTGCTGGGAAAGAAGACAGGGATGGGAGAATAAACTCTTGGGAGTCAAAGGGCAGATTGTTGCCCTTGGCCAGGTGGCCCTCAAGATCCATGGACCTCTCTGGGCTCCTGGGCTGACCTTGGGTGCCACCAGGAGCTGCCTCTAGGCAGGGCTGGAGCAGGGCTGGCATGGATGCCTCGTTCAGGGTGAGGCTGCTGCCCAGAGACAGAGAGCTGTCCACGACAAGGCCAGGGGCGCTGCTGGGCGTGGCCACTCTGCGCCGTTTACTAGGTAGCGAGCCCTCCCAGGTCCTCTGCCCAGAGGCACCTGGCCTCCGCACCCCGCGGAATCTGAAGGGCTGCTGCCCCCTCCTCAGGTGTTTGTCCATGTGTCTGTCAAACTGCTCTTTCTTGATGAACGTGTAGTTGCAAGAGCTGCAGATGAAGGACCTCTTGCTGATGTGGGTGACGTTGGCACAGAGCTCACAGTCATACAGTGGGGTGTGTTGCAGCTCCAGCTCCTCCCTCACCCCATGCTCCCTGGCGAGGTGCGCACGAAGATCGCTGGGCTCAGGGTAGACCCTTGGGCACTGGGGGCACAGGAAGACGCGCTGCGGGCTGTGCACCGCAAGGTGGCGCTGCAGCTTGAAAGGCTTGGGGAACCGCTTGCCGCAGTGGTGGCAGTCTCTGGAGGGGTCCTTGCAGTCCTGATGCATTGGGTTGGTGTGGGGTAGGGGCTCTCGGTCGGAGCAGGGTGCAGGGGACAAGCTGGGGCACGTCTTGGTGGAGCCAGGGAGAGTGGCAGAACTGCTGGGCAGAGCTGGGTTTGCACAGGTTGATGGACTGCTTTTGGCTGAGGTGCTGTCTGGCATCAAAGTGCCATCCTGTTTAGAGTTTTTGGTACGAGCTTTGGATTTTGCCCTCTCCCTCTCTGCAGGGCTCCTATTTGTCTGGCCAGTTGAGCACTTGCCCCTGTGTGGTTTGGATGCCTGCCCCATCATGCTGTTCAGGAAGTGTGTGACTGTGCCGTCCCCCTCCCAGCGTCCAGATGGGTCTCCCAGGGACCTCCGTGCTGGCCCCTTTCGGGCAAATCGTAGGGCATGTTCTCGCAGATGCTCGTTGTACATCCAGACATCGGCCACTTCCCGCAGGCACATGCCGCAGGCCCACAGCCCCGCCCGGCCCTGCACATGCTTCTCCTGCAGGTGCTCCCTCAGCTGCTCTCGAGAACCGAACCTGCGCTCCACACACATGTAGCAGGTGGGGGGCGGCGAGGGGCTGTGGGCCAGCTTATGGAGGTCCAGCTCTCCCAGGCCATGAAAGCGCTGGAAGCACACCCTGCACTTGTAGGGTGTCCCCTTGGCCCTGGCATTCCCGTCTCTGACTGGGGCCCTTTTGGCCTTGGCCCCCTCCTCTGTCCTTTTGCTCTGTGACCCCTGGGAGGTCACTGTGGCCTTGAAGTCTAAGAAGCTCATGTTGGAGAGAGCCACAGGGTCTTCGCAGGGTCCCAGAAAGCATATATCTTGCATCTCAAAGCTGAGCCCCTCTAGAGCTAAGGCATCCCCCGGGAGCCCGCAGTTGTAGTGTTCCAGCTCCAGGTTGGGAGGCTCAGGGCTCATGTCCCCAAGAGAAAAGGCGGCCTCATCAGCGGAGGCCGGCAGCTCCAGGCCTCGCCAAGCCGCCGGGACCATGTGCAGCTCAGGGATGTTCTCCGACGGGTGGTCCTTGGCATTGCAGGAGGGTTCCTGCTTGGCACCGTCTGCCTCTGGGCCAGGCTCCAGGGCCCATAGGCTGGGTCCTGGGGCCCAGGGGTCAATGCCAGGCATCTTGCTACTAAGGAAGCCCTCCAGGAGGAAGGACTCAGGTAGGCCCATGGTCTCGTCACTCCATGGGTCCTCGAGGGACAGGCAGAGGGAGCCTGAGTCACTGAGATCTGTGGGCATGTGGGCAGAGGGCAGAGTTTCACTGCTCTGGAACTCCCAGGGCTCTGGCAGTGGCAGAGGCTTTGGCTTTTTACAGCGCTTCCCATAGACTCGGGGGTTCTTCTTCCGAGTTAAGTGGTTGCCCAGAGGGAAGAGCTGGGAAAAGGAGGCATCGTCATCAAACAAGCTCAGAGGGTCCCCAAGACCCCGGCCGGGGGCTTCAGGAGTGACACCTTCATGCTCCTGGACCCTGCAGGGGTCCAAGGGGCCCGGGAGGCAACTGCTGATGGTGTCACCTGTTTCAGAACCACAAGTCTCTGGGGAGCCTGAGGGTCCCCAGGGGGGGTTGTGCTCTTCAGCTTGCCCTGACTCAGTCTCAGTTGCACTGCTGTGCCCTGCAGGTGTACCCGCAGCTGCCCCTGACAGTTCTCTGCAGACATCCGATGTCCTGGTCTCTCTGGGTCCCCAGGAACCCCTTGCCAAGGCTGCCTTCTGCTCCCTCGTCTCTTCTGCAGGAGGCACCCGCTCCATTCTCCCTGGAGGTGCCATCAACTTCCCAGGTGACTTCTGTGTAGACGTCCCCTCCAGTTCTGTGGCCAGGAGGAGAGGCAGCTGTGTGACCTCAGTCTCCTGCTCTGCTTCCTGTGAGAGGCAGTGGCTCAGAGGGGGTGGATAATTGACAGTTGCAGTTGATGGATTCCAGTGGCTTCTATCTGAAATCACATCTGGAGAGACTGGAGGACCGCGCTCCTCCCGGAACCTTCTCGCTCTCGGCTTTCTCGGTTTCTTATTTGATTTCCCCTCTGGCTCGCGGGGGATGTCCATGGGCGCTCTACCCCGCCTCTTGCCTCCTCTTCCCTCTGCCCGTTTGGGACAGGGGCCATCCCTCTGCTGCAAATCCCGTTTTCTGGGCTCTGCAGGCCTTGAGCCCACTCCCGGCTTGACCAGGCCTGGGGTGTGTGGTTCCCGGCTGGGGGGACAGACTCGTGTTCTCACAATGCTGGCCCCCCTCCTGAGCCCCTTGGACACCTTGGGAGCCGAGTCATCCTCAGGAGCCATGGAGACCTGGACCGAAGGTGACCCAGCAGTGAGGCTGGGGCTGTTCAGCCTGTGCCTCAGTTTCTCCTTCCCAGGTGCCCTGCGGCTTTTTCCCCCAGGGGGCTGATTCATCTGGGCTGCAGGCTCCCCAGGTTGGGGAGCAGCCGGGGCTGGGGGGCTTGGCTGGGAGGTGACTGCCTGTAGCTTGTGCTTCCTGGCTCTGTGGCGGCTTAGGCCTGGTCCGGATCGGAAGGTGGCTGAGCAGACCTCGCAGGTCACAGGCCGCCCGCTGTGGTCTCGATTCTTCCAGCAGCTGCTCTCAGTAGACACGGGGCTGTTTTTAAAGCCACCAGCCTTCTGTTTGGGGTCCTGGGGACATAGAGGGTCCCCCTGGGGCACCTGCTGGGGGACGTTTCTGAGGCTCTGCGGGGAGTTGGGCCTGGAGTTGCTGGCTGTGCTGCTCAGAGACGTGGCTTTGTCCTGCTGGAGCCCTTCACCAGGGCAGGCGACTGTTGGGCCAGCTACTGAGGCCTTGGAAATGCCAGGGCACCCAGCCCCAGGTATCTTAAGGTCCTCCTCGCCCTGGGTGCTGGCTCCGGCCTCACCTTCCTGGCAGGCACGAGGCTCTGGCCCTGCCGTCCTCTGGGAGGAAGCGTCAGCGGGCACAGTGGTGATGCTCTGGCCGTCCCTGTGTCTTGAGTGTTCTGAGGGGGGGCCCTCGGGCGTCCTCTCTGGGCTGCTGTGGGGTAGTGCTCCCCTGCAGTGGGGGTCTGGCCACTCAGCCCTGGGGCCTCTGACTGCTCCCATGCCATCTGTGGCAGGAATGCCAGGTAGGGCTGCAGCCTGGATGGTTACTCTTGGGGATATGGCCCTCGATGGGGGAGAAGGGATGTTATAGGCAGGAGATTCTCTCAGCCCCTCTTTCCTAGAACCCTCTAGGGATCCTGACATGTGGCTTTCAGGGTGGTCCCCCTCATGAGTGGAAATGAAGGCATTGCTGAGACGGGGCTGGTCCGCGGAAGCATCTTTCAGTGGGCTCCGTCCCCCTGGGAGAGAGTGGCAAACCAGGCTTTCCTCGAGGCAACAAGGGCTTGTCCTCAAAGATGAAGAGGTGGCCAGGGACTCTCCAGCCCTAGCATCTGTGGGAGCTGGGGTGCAGTCAGCCCCTTTTAGAGCTGTACCGGCAGAGGAATAGGCTGGCAGGTGCTTCATGCTGGTAGGGTCCCCGAGCGATGGCGACACTGGGAGCAGTCCCCTCAGCTCACCTGAGGGCACTGTGGGCGGGTCTTCCTGGAGCAGGTGCTCCAGGCTGCAGGGAACAGGGGTGGCTGCAGAAATGGGTAAGGGGGCACAGCTGGCCAGGTCTCTCATGGGGAGCTCTGGGCTCTCGTCAGTGAGTAGCAGGTGTTTCTTAAGGCCTGGACTGGCCGCCTCTGGAGTCCAGTCCTCAGGCCCATTTTGGGCATGGTTTGCTGTCAAGGCCGGGACTAAAGATTCCACATCAGAGGAGCAGGGGCTGGGAGTGGACTCTGCCTCATTTTGAAGTCCCACATTCGGTCTGCTTCCCTGGACCTGCCCCCCTAGCTGGTCTGCAGCCCCAGCGGGGCTGGCTTGTGTAGTTTCAGGATCGGCATTAACTGTGGCGAGGTTGTCTGGGCTCCCCAGGTTCCCCCAGTTCTCTGGTTGCAGCTGGCTGGCTTCGCCCGGGTCTTTGAGCTTCTCAGCTTGGCCGAGTGAGCTCAGATGGTCACCTGCCTCAGGCCTCAGCTGACATCCAGCCATTTCGGAGATAGCTGTCATCTGCACACCCCCATCAGAACCCTTACTAGGGCTGTGGGCCACATCCCCACATTCCATGATGTCCCCTTCCACATCTGAAGGGTTGCTCTGGTGAGGGCTCTGGGTGTTGGCAAGTTGGGGCCCTGGTAAGTTCTGGTCATCATCTTCATTCTCAGCTGCTCTGGCCACCAGGAGCTGGAGCTGACATAGGGGGCTTTTGGCTGGGTCCTGGGGCCTCGTGCCAGGACTGATGTCAGGCATGAAGCCAGGACTTGGGGAGGCCCCTGCTGGCACAACCTTCTTGTTACCCTCAGAGCCAGGGCTCCCTGCTGCAGGGTGGAGGGGACCTGTTTCTTCTGTCCCATCTGCACTGCTTAGAGAATGTCCCTCGAGGACCTCACTGTGCCTGGTACCAGAAGGCGGAGTGGCACCCAGATGCAGAACTGTAGCACCCTGAAATGCCAAGTCAGGTGCCAAATGGGCAACAGGACTGCTGAGCCCCTCCAGCTCAGGGTCCTCTTGGCCGGGCCCCCGCGCCTTGCAGGGAAGGAGCAGCAGTTTGTCTTCATTGTGATGGAGTCCGGTGGACTGGTTATTTTTGAAAAATAAAGGCTCATGGTTTGGGCTGCTCTTCACTAACTTCCCTCCGTCCGACTGGGGTTTGAGTGGCTCTCCCGGGTCCAGACAGGCTTCTGGGCAGCCCCTGCAGCCCTCTTCTGCCTCAGGGAGCCCTCTGCTGGAGACTCTGGTGTTCTGCACTGGCTGGAAACTGAGGCTAGCCCCAGTGAGGCTGAAAGAAGCTCCAGAAACCTGGTCTTGGTGGGAGGCAGGGGGAGGGGCTGCTTCTCCCAGGTGAAACGAGGGCCACTCCTCCTGGGGGCTCCCGAGGGTCCCCTCTGTGGTGTCCATGGCTGTTTCTGTCCCTTCCTGGTGTGGACTCAACTCCCCAAGATCAGTGAGGTCAGCTGTGGAGAATGAGTCCTTTTGGGGTGAAGCAGCCTCATGGGTGGGCAGCGGGGTGCCTGTGCCAGAGCACATTCTGCCTGTGGGCTGAGCTCCACCCGGCTCTCCTGGGGCCTCATGCACACTTTTACTTTGCAGCTGACTTTCTAATTCGGTGACCAACCTTTTGATCTCTAATTCATCCTCAGACAGGCTGCTCATAAAAGTGATGCTACACTCGTTAATCTTGCACGGCAAAGGGGGAGGGGTGGCGGCTTTTGTCCTTTCAGGAGGACACTTCGTACTGAATGCCTTTGCTCCTGAGAGGTCAGGAGAATGATCCAGGTGGCTGGATAGCATTGAGGAGACTTCCTCCAGCAGAGACCAGCCCTTCTCAGGCAGAAATGAGGGGTATGGTGGGTCCAGCTGGGGTTTCCTTGGGGGTGGATCAATGCATGTAGACGGTGATTGTGTGTCCCCGTTTTCGGATAGGCTGCTGTAGATCGGTGGGTCAAAGTCGTCCATGGGCAGCCCCGAGAGGAGGGGCGTGGATTCCAAGGTCAGTGGTGATTCGGCTTTGCCTGGGTCCGTGTCCACTGTGTAGGGGGGATTCCCAGCAGGTTTTGGCTTGAGGGAACTGGAGTCCACACTCTCCTGGCACAGGTGCATGCTACTGGCTGCAGGAGTGTCTGGATCCAAGGGCTCGGAGTACAAGTCTTTGGGGAGACAGCCAGCCAGGTCTTTGGGTCCAAGGAGCAATTTCCGGGGGGGACTGTTGTAGGGCTGGGGCTCTGTTTTGGCAGCTGAAACCAGGGAGTCTCTGTTAAAAAGAGCAGAGTCACACCCAAGATCAGGGGTCTTTAAGAACAGGGTGCTGGGCTCGGGGTAGGCAGCAGTGGTGTTAGTGATGGGGACCAGCAATTCTCCTGGCAGGCAGGCAGGGGGGTCCTCTTTGTCATGAGAGATGGGGGGTTCTGTGCACGGGGGGACACCCAGCTGACTGCCTGTACCTGGCACTGCTGAGCTCCCGTGGGGCACCGTGGTGTCCTCCCTGCGTGATTGTGGTTGCTCGGGGGTTAGAGAACAGGGACTTCCTTCCACACAGGTGGACGGAGGAGAGCCTGAAGTGCCACTGAGAAACATTGTGGTGTCAGGAGGAACATCTTCTTGAGGGAAGTCCAGCGATGGATGGTTTTCTTCTGGGGTCTTGGTGCTGGTGGGAATCTGCAGGAGACACTTGGGGTCTCTCTCCTTAGGGCTGTCTATGATCTCAGGGCTCTGCAGTGGGCTCTGGCCTTCAGGGCTCTCACTGGGGCCTAGGCAAGGCCCGCCTGGCTTTGTGGTTTCCGGCCTCACGACCTTCCTGGATTTCTGCTGCTTTCGCTCTTCTCTGGGACTCAGGCTTAAGTCCATTTCCTTCCTCTTCTCACCTCGGCGCCACCGCCGGCGGCCGTGGCGAGGCCGGCCTCTGAGGCGGGAGCCCCGTGGCTGCACGTTGTCCTCTTCCTCGGACTCTGAAGCATAGTCATATTCCTGCAGCCTGCCGTCCGGGGCGCTGGGTGCGGCCCCCTCGGTTGACAGGGAGAAGCAGCTGCCCTGGCCTTGCTGTGCCTGCTGCTTGTGCAGCTGATTCTTCTGCTGCACGATCTTGTGGATGAGCTCCTTGCTCCAGGTGCCACCCCAGGCCTTCCTCCTCCTGGAGTCCTTCCGCAGGGACAGTCGGAGGCGCTTAGAGCTCCTGGTCTCCACCGGGAGGAGCCTTCCACAGGGGTCTGTGTGGCTCTTGAGGGCTCGGGTCCTGAGGTCCCAGGAGCGGTGTGGGGCTGGCTCAGCCCTGTTTCCCTTCCTCCTGGGCCTCAGACAGGAGGCTCTGGTGCCCCTGCCTGACCTCTTGGCAGTGTTGGCTGTGCCCAGTTCTCCCTGGGAAAACTTAAACCGCTTCCCTCTCCTCTGCTGGCTGGCCAGGCTGGCCCCATTTGCCTCCGCAGGCACTGGGCCCAAGGATCGCGTTTTGGGCCGGCTGCAGGCTGTGTAGCCCCCATCCCCAGGGCAGGGGGCCTGGGACTCCGTGGCTGGGAGCGGGGGGTGGGCTTTGTTCTCTGGCATGGCTCCACCCACCCTGGTCTTGGGGGGCAGCCCAGCGCTGATACCTCTGGGGCCAGAAGGTTCTTCATCAGCAAAGACGTCGATGAAACTGCTGTCGATCTCGGGGTTGTCTGACTGATATTCCAGGCCGTTGAGTGCTTCGGTGATGAGGCTGTCCAGCTTGGCATCGTCCTCCAGGTCCAGGTCCGCAGTGGAGAGTGGGAAAGGGGCAGAGGTCAGGCTGGGCAAGAACGTTGTCCTCAGGGGGTCATCTTTGCCATCCACCCGGAGGTCTCCCCCCAGCAGGAAGGGGACCGTCTTAGCGTGGCTGAGAAGGCTGGGGTTCCCGGGGGCCGGTGCTTTGGGGGCAGCCAGCACAGAGGGGGCAGCGGGAGGCCTGGGGATCTCTGCAGGCTGCTGGCGGCTGTCCTTGGTCCTGGCCAAGAGTAGGCTGCAGAACTGCCGGTGCTCCAGGAAGGTGGCCAGGCTGCTGTAGTTCCGGTCACACTGCTTGCAAGTGAGCAGCACGTCCAGCTGGTCCAGGCTGGCGCTGCTGAGGGAGAAGTGGTGGGCAGAGTAGGGGGGCGGCTCCCGGGGGAAGCCCTCCAGCCGCCCACTGCCCACCTCGGGGACCGCATTGGGGAATGGGACCTCCTCCAGGCATTTGAAGGTCCCCTCAGCCCCAAGCACCTCTGTGGGGAAAGGGAAGGTCTTGACTGGCTCTGGCTGGTAGTGGATGGGGAGGGCATGTGAGGGGTCAGGGGATGGGAAGGGGCTACTGTTCTCCTGGGGGTGACTGGGGGGATGGAAGAAGGCAGAGGGCCCTAGTGGGCCGGGGAGTTGGCTCTCCTCCGAGCTGGGGTTGGCTGGGCTGCTGGACAGCGGTGACAGTGATGAGCAGGTGCTACTGCCGGCTGTGTTGGTGGCAGGTGAGGGCAGTGGGGACTCACTGGGAGAGGCTCCCACCAGCCTGGGTGGGGGCAGGCTGGGGGTCCCTTGGGGTGAGACCTGGGGCTGTGCTACCCCAAAGAACAGGGGCTGGGCTCCAGGGTCCTGCAGTCCATTGTAGGTGAACAGCCCTGGGGAGCTGCTGCTGTGCTGGCCGGGGCTGTTTCTCAGCACCAGCTTCTCCCCAGGTCCAGGTGTCTTGCTGGCAGCACCCAGGGCTACCTGGCAGCCCCCCTGCCACTCAGGGGTCCCTGGGGAAAAAGGCACCCGGTTCAGCATCTCTACTTGATGGGGGCTGGGCCTGGTGGCCGGCAGCACCTGGGGCCAGGGCAGCGGGGGGCTCTGGGGAAGGCCAAACCTCTGTCCAGAGCTGGGCTGGCCTTCAAAGAACACACTCCTGGTGGTGCCTGGGGGGCCCAGAGGAGGAGTGGGGTAAGGGGCTCTGGTGGGATCCCACAGCTGGGGCAGCCTGGCGGGCGGGGGCCCAGGGTTGGCCAGCTCTGTGTCCAGAGAACTAGGACTGGTGCCCACGCCACTGGCCCCCGGGCTTCCATAAGCCTGCCCTGGAAAGTGTCTCTGGGGCAGAGAGTTTGGGGGTCCCCTGGGGCTCCCCAGTCCATTTTGGGCTGAAGGTGATCTCTCAGGGAGGGCTGTGGTCAGGCTCTTGTGCAAACTGTCTGGGAAGGTGACCGTGCTCTCTGAGAAGGGGCTGGGGACCGGGCGAGCAGCACCAGTTGTGGGGAGAGCACGGCCGAGGTCACTGGTGGGGTCAAGGTGCCCGGGCTGGCTGGAGAAGCAGGACGGGGGTGGGGGAGCAGACTGGGTGGGCAGGGGGTAGGCCACGCCTGTGCCCACTGCCTCCTCCTGCCATTCTCCCCGAGGCTGGTGGAAGGCAAACACCAGGGCCCTCTCAGAGTACTCAGGCCCCGCCGTGTCCTCGGGGAAGGGCTTTGGGCCAGCCCCAGGCAGTGCTGGGAAGGGGATTTGGAAGGAGGCCACCCTGGGGCTGCCGCCTTTGGGGAAGGGCTCCGGTTCTGGGGGAAGGACCCTGAAACTAGCACCTGGGAAGTTGCTTTCAGCAGCGGGAAGCCAGGCATCGGCCCCACTGGCCTGGAATTCTGAATAGGAGGCTGGCCTGCAGGGACTGGCGTCACTGCTCTGGGGGGCCCTTAGGGGTGGGGGCCCCGGGGTGGCACTCGGTGAGGTATAACTGGTGGAGGTAAAGCTGGAGGGTGTCTCCTGGAAGCACCTTTGGAAGCTGAGCTCTTCTGGGGCAGGAGGGGCCTCTGCTTCTGGGGGCCGGGGGCCCTCCCGCTGTGGGCCCTCAGGGGTCTCATCCAGAGCGGGTCTGGCCCTAGAGCCCGAAACGCTCAGCGTATAGAGCTGCTGGGGGCTGCTGTCTGCCCTGTCTGTGTGCCCTGTGGGAGCCTGTATGAGGCTCCTCCCCAGGGGGGCCCGGGGGCTACCGCCCTTCCTGGGGGGGCTGCTTAGGGGCTGGGCTCTCTGGAGGGTGGCCTTGGGCTCCACCTCCCTAGCCGGCCCAGGCTGGGTATCAGGGGGCTCCATGGCTTGGGTCCCACTGCCCGGCTCCCTCCTGGCCTTGGGGGTCCTGCTGGCCAGGGCACTGTCCTCGCCGAGGGGCTGGGGGGCTGTGCCGCTGGCCATGCCGCTGGCTGTCTGGCAGGATTGCAGGCCTCTGGTCATGGCTGGTGGTGGTGCTCCGCGGGGCTGCTCTCCAGGCATGGCCCCTCCGTCTGGTCGCTAGGAGGATGAGGTGGTCCGAGGGGGTCCGTGGGGAGAGGGCTGCGTGGCCATCCTTGCCCCTTGGGGTTCCCTGGAGAAACCTGCTCTCATGGTCCTGGGTGGAGCCTGAAAGGGAAAGACAGAAGTGAGGAGGGAGCTGTGGAGGCTCCGGGCTCCCACGGAAGCTGTGACAGGCTGGCAGCAGAAGCAGCGGGCACCAAAGCCCCCATCTTTAGAGGAAGGGGCTCAGCTCCAATGCCATTTTGAGAGACAAGAGGAGAAAAGCCTTCCTGCCAGACTGAGCAAGGGGGTCAGGGTGGGGGGAGAAGGAGAAAGGGAAAAAAGGAGAGTGCTCAGAAGACCCCCGGCCACCTCAGAGCAGTCCTCTGTGGCTCTGGCTAGCCTGTGAGTAAAAGGCCCCAGACCTACAGAGGCCGTGGCAGGGCTAAAGAGCAGCTGGTGGCCATCTGTGTGACCTGAGCTACAGCCCAGTGGGGTCCAGGGACAACCCACGCAGGACAGAGGGGACACCTTCACCGGCTGAGAGGAGGGGCCTCACACCAGAAGCGGAGTTGGGAAATAAGGGGTGAGTCTACGCACATCTGAGTCTGGCTTGAGGCTCACACCTGGTCCTGTGATGGTCTTAGGGCTGTTGCACACAGGAAAGCCTCACGCCACTCGCCCTAGGGACCCACGGGCCAGCTCCTTGGGTGGGGTCTGCATCTGTATTTCTAGGCAGCGCTAGGCACTGCTGGTGCTTCCTCCCAGGGATCATAGCCTGATTTGGGGCACAAGCATCCCTGTCTCTCCTGGGTGGGGATGGTTCCAGTTCTGTCCTTCCCCCTCTGGCCAGCCCCATGGACCCTCCTTGATCCCAGCAGCCTGCATGCCCCTTCCCTCCTAAGCAGAGGTCTTGCCCCCTCTTCTGGGCCCCACTGCCTGGGGCCAGCCCTTCCATCCCCTTGGAGCAAGGGCTTGTGGGTGAAGTTTGTTGAATGAATGAATGAATGATAGCAGTAACCTCAGCATGAGCTCCTTCTGAACATTTGGCTGGGGGCCAGAAGCTGAGAGCTTTCCATCAGTCACTTCTCCTGTCCTCACGGGGCTCTGGAGGTCAGAACCCTTAGAGCTACGGTGAGGTGAGGAACTCACACGTGGCCTCACAGCTCGTGGAAGGCACTGGGGTCCCAGGAAGGGCCTCCCCCAGCCTTGCCACACATGGTCTGGACCCCAGATTGGGGCCAGGCTGTGCCCCGTGTGGAGAAAGCAGCAGCCTGGCCCCTCATGAAGCTCATGCACGAGAGACGGCAAAGCCTATGAGATGCCACCCTCCCTTCTGGACTTTGAACTGCCCAGTGCAAGTCCTGGCTCAGCCACTGACCTGCTGTGGGACCTGAGCCTGGAAAATGGGGATCCCGGGAGAGCCCCCTGATGGCTGTTGTGAAATGACACAGGCCACTGTGTCCAAACTGTATATTAGGTCCCTTGCGAATCATCTGCTGTGTGTGTGGTTTTCTGACTATCCTTGTTTCTGTCTGAGCCTGGGGCCCCCAAACTAGGGAGCCTGTGGTTTCTTCTCTGCCTCATCCCCACAGCATGGAGTCTGGCGCACAGTAGGCACTCAAGATTGAGGAAAGGTCAGTTTCCACACCCTTGAGTAGGGATGGTAACAGTGCCACTCTCATTGGATTGTTCTAATGCTCAACATTCTTGTGACCTGCCATGGTCCGGCATACAGGGGCATTCTCTTTCCATGCCTTAGTGTCCCCATCTGTGCTCAGATGGGTTGTGGCATTCCTTCTCCTGGGACGTTGCTGGAAGCCAGATGAGAGCCTGGTCTGTGGGCCCTCCAGGCTGCAGCTACACCTGGGCCATCCTGAGCAGGCGTTTAAAGGGGAGCAGGTCTCTGACCTCATGGCCCCACTTGCCCTCAGAAACACCTGCAGCTTCCAGGGAGCTCAGAGCTCTGGCCAGAAAGCTCCCCATTGGGGCTGACGGCATAGGTCACATTACTAAGATCCAGTTGTCCCTGAGGGAGGGTTTCAATCTGTCTGGCTGCTGGCAGCCTTGGCCACATGGCTCCATTCGATCCAGAGCCATGCTACTGGCTGTGAGCTGCAGTGACTCATGCTACTTCTGAGTAGAAACTTTTAGAGCAGAGATCTGGAAACCTGCCTTGATGCTTTTTTGAGGACTGAGGTCACAAGCTGTGGCCAGGCGGTAGGCTGGCCGCCTGGTCACTGGTGGGGCACTGTCCATCTCTGGGCTCCTGTTCCCATCAGCCAAGGGCGAGGGGGTCAGACCAGGCTATCCCCAAGGGTCCTTTTGTTTCCAGCAACTAGTACTGGCTTTTCTTGGCTGGAAGGCCAGTCACCAGGGCTAACCCCTCGTTCATGCATTCACACTCACAAGAGCGCTTCTGGACATCTGCCCCAGGCCCAGTGCTCAGGGGAGATAGACTATAGCTTTGGGGTTCAGAGCTCCTGTGGGGCCCACAGAGGCTGGGCATGGGGGCCAGGGAGTGGCATTTATTAAGTACCTACAGTATGCTAGGTGGAACTTAACTTGGGGTCTAGGAACATCAGAGGAGGGGGCTCCTGCCTGGCTGCAATCAGAGGAGACTTCCTAGAGGAGGTGGCATCGTGGATGGAGAAGGCATTCGGGGTGGGCACTGTGAGCACGGGCAGGTGCAGGGCTGCTTGGGAAATCTGGGAGGAAGAGCTCTGTGCTGAGAAGGACCTGTGTGGGGCTGGGCCAGTTTCTGAAAGACACTGAGGTCTTTACAGGGTGGGCAAGTGGGACCCACGTGAGCGGGTATCAGGCTGCACCAGCGGCTTGGGGAGGTGGCCTGCCTTTCCATGTACTCTGACCCAGGCCAGGAAGTCTCCCGGGGGCCCCCTTTGCCACTGGCTGCAGGTACACACCACAGGGAAAGCTCTTTAACCTCACGCAGCGCCGTGACCCAGCAAAAGTTGGGCCAAGAGCTGGCTCTGAACCAGCAGGAGGGGCTCTGGCCTGTGGGACTGCCCATCTTGAACTCCTCAGATAGCCTATGGGGGCAGGCCCCAGGCCCCAGGCCGACTTCCAGGCCTCCAATTGCATGGCAGTGAAGTCCATGGGGTCAGGCGTGGCTTCTGACCTCCGAGGGCCTCTGACCTTGCAGGGCCTCCTTCACCTGCCCCCGAACAGGCTGCTGCTGGGACACGGGTACAGAGGATGGGGAGAGCCTGGGGCTCCCCACAGCTTCCAGAGCTTTTTAGGGGGCAGCAGGTGAGGCCAGAGCATCGTTAGACACAGCCCCACAGACCCAGGCTCCAGGCAGCCTCTGAGAGGGTAGGTGGGGATCCTGCTTCTGATTCCCCGACAGTGCCAGCTGCACATGCCAGGCACACCCCCCCCCCCCCCCCCCCTGCTTCCAGGCTCCATCAGCCTCGGCTTCTCCGCTGTGACCTGGGAACAACACTGGAGCCTATCTCAAAGGCGGTGGCAAGGGAGCAATCAGTGAATAACCTCTTCATAGAGCATTTAGCAGAGAGGGTGGTGCAGACCAATGCATTGTCCCTGTTAGTCCTGTAACTGCTAAGTCTTGTCACTCCTCTGGGCCCCGATTCGCTCACCAGCACAAAGGCCATGTGGCGAGGAGACTACAGGAAAGAGGCTGTGGGGAGGGCTGAGTGGGGTCTGAAAACAGGAAGAAGTTGCTAATTTGTTGGTTTGAAACAGCTGTGCTCCAGCCTGCCCTCAGGAAAGGAGGGGTCTGATCAGAGGAGGCCGGCCCCTGGAGAACTTAGCTGACAGGAGCTGCTGCCGCCCTCAACAGTCTCACCCCAGCTCAGCGCTGCGGTTAGAAGCCACGAAGCGGCTCCTGACAGCTGGCTCGGGGAGAAGGTCTCTCAGGGAGGCAGCTGGCAGCCCCAATTACCGCCTGAGCGGGGAGACGGAAGGAGACGGGCCGGTGGGGCGGGTGGGGAGCCTGGACCGAGGGCATCTCCGGCCGGTGGAGACTGCCAGCCTCCAGGCCAGCTGTCCTCTTCCACATACCTCGCGAGTGGGGCCCTCAGCTGGGTTGCCGCACAGCTTCCTGAGGAATGAGGACTTCTTGGCTGCAGAGAAAATGGAAACTGTGTCAGAATCCATGTGGTGCTTGGCTGGGGGCCAAGAGACCCGGGAGAAGTCGGGAGCGGTTCCCAGGTGAGGCCCGCCACCCCAACGCCACGCAGAGCCAGGGGCCTTAGGGTGCCAGGAAACTGTCAAGGAGAGATGGTGAGCTCAGGAGGCCAGTAGGCAGCTCAGCCTGGCCCTGCAGGGTTAGGGGTCAGCTGGCCGCCTTTGCCCCAGGTTTGTTGACTATTGTCCATTTCTTTTCGTTAAGTTCTTATGGCTCCCGAACTTGAGACAGTGTTCAAAGGTCGCCAGTGCGAAGTCTCACTCTGTGCCCTGGCCTCTTGGCCCTCTTCCCTGTCCTGCAGTGTAAGCAACCGGGAACTTCGTGGGTTCCCTTCCAGTTTCTTGATGTAAATATCAGCAGATCCCATTTCCCCTTTCTTCAACAAAAGATAGCCTACTGCACTCACCATTCCACTGTATTTGCATTTAACAACGCATCTTGGAGATAATTCCATAGTGCACCACAGATTCCTGTCTGTCTCTGTACCTACAGAATATTCTGCAGAATGATGGACAGCTATTTACGTGTCCAGACCCCTCCAGACGGGCACTGGGTTGTCCTATATTGGGTCTTACAAACAGCAGAGCAATGAATCTGCATGCCAGTGAGACCCACAGGGTAAATGCTAAAAAGAGATGGTGGGGTCAAAGGGCAAGTGCATTTGTAATTTGTCAAATTAATCCCTGGAGTAATTTTAAAATTTGGCCACAATTTTTTTGATCCTCCTTCCTTGAAAAGGTGGGACCCAATTCCTTCTTCTCAAATGTGGGCTGACCTGGTGACTTGCTGCTAATTACAAAATAAGGTGGAAGTGAGGGTGTTGGACTTTAGA